TGAGTTGCCATTTCCTCCTCCAGGGGATCTTCCTGACCCAGGGATCGAACATACCTCTCCTGTGTCTCCTGAATGGCGGTGGATTCTTCACTTGCTGAGCTGTCAGGGAAGCCCCCATGAAGGGTGCCATTTGCTTATTACATTGTTTTCCTTTCTCTGCCCAGCTCTGGTCTCATGTTTGTGTATAATTTTCCTATATTATCCACCGAATCTCACAGAGATGAAAAAATTCAGCAGTCTTATTTTTGTGACCTAACTTTGCTGTTTCAGTTGTAGTCTTCTGTTATTATCTTGATTCTTTCTCTTTTTATTTTTAATGTAGCATTTCATGGAAGCATGGATTTGTTGCAGCTGTCAGCCTCATCTTGACACATACACTTTGTCCAGTTCCTGCATACTTCAGCTAAGAGGCTTCTATTTATGATGCTTAAACATTTTATGATATTCTTCAGATCTTTCCACCGGCTTATAACACATATGAGAAATATGTGTTAGTTCTCATATTTCCATGACTATATTTTATTATCCAGGAAATTTATTAATGTACCAATTCACCCACTCCATCTTTTGTAATTTTTTTCTTTCTACTTTTTTTACTTATTCCCTTTGAACATTCATTTTTCATGCTCCCATGGCTTCTGCCCCATGTTCTGATCCCTAATATGGACAAGGAGAAAAATATCATTCTTCCTCTAAGCCTAGTGAAGAAATGATCTTTGCTGAAGCTTTCTTTTTGAGACAGTTATTTTAGGAAGCCCTTCTACAATCATTTAAATGCAGTGTTTGGGAAGAGTTAGAATTAACTATATCCATCAGTTAGTTTTAAAATGCTTTGCTTCTCTGTTCCTGTGACCCACGAGGGATCGTTCAGCCCTCATTTTTTTTTCTGGATCTGTTTTTCTTTTGGGAGTGGGGTGTTGGGTGACTGGGAGTTGAGACTATGACTTCAGAGCAGAATATCATCAGATTAGTTTAGATGGACATTGCTATATGAACATGACGTTGAGAAATCCAGGGTTTTCAGGTGTGTCCAGTTTGGCAAAATTAATTAGGCTTCTCTAGATGTTATAATTATTATTTTTAATATAAACAGTATGTGCAGCCCTCTCTGTAATTACATTTATTACGTCTGTGTCTCATGGTTCCAACTCATGAGACTACTCCACTATCTTTTGCTTGTTAGGCATTTTCCCCCAAGACCTTACTCACTTGAATTTTGCTAGCTCTGAAGATAACTTTGGTCCCCAAAGTCTTGGGTTTTAATCTTTTATACTGCTCATGTCTCCTAGTAGTTTCAGATATGAATTCCATGTTTCTTCAGCATTTTTTATATTTTGGCTATTAATACTAGATTGAATTTTTCTTCTGTGTCAGAAATTTGGATACTTTCTTCTTGTAATGCATCTTTAGAGAAAGTTATATTACCCGTAATTACAAAATCATTTAATTTTAGGATTGGGAAGATATTGGAAAAAGTGCAAAGCATTGCAATCTGTTTATAGTCCTCAATATAATTGTACTGTGTATCAGTAAATGTGTTGCTTTGGCTATCAGGTGAGCAGAGTATGTCCTCTTAAAAAAAAATAAAGAAAAGCAGTAGAAGCTTTTTAATTTGTTTTTCTTTTCAAAGGTGTAAAACCTTGTCCAAATAGAACTTAGTTTGGGTTGCTGATTTCAAACATATTAAAGTGGTATTTTATTTACATTCAGGTATAAGTTGAGATCTATCACTTTTTCCATTATAAAGTCAAAGGGTGAGAATAGATTATTTTCATGAAATGGTTACTTTAAAATTGAGAGATAAGTGTGGCAAGTGATGTTTTGTAAGTATCTAAGTAGACATTTTTGCCTAATATGGGCCAGATTCCAAATTGAATCCCAAATCCCAAATTCCAAAAACCAAATTTAATTCCCCCACCACTGCCAGTTCATTTTTCCATATTAGGATGCTGTTCAATAAAAATTCTGTTTAGGTTTTAAATTATGTTTCCTTAAAAATTCTGTTTAATATTTATTTTGTGTTTAATTTTAAACATAATTTTTAACTTTTAAACATAGTTATTAATTAAACATAAATGGCAGGCGAAAATTGTCCCCTCCAAATCTTCCCCTAAACTGAGTTGACCTGCAAGTTAGTATAATACAGTCTCAACTGGTTAAACTTTCTGTAACACATTTGAGAGTAGATTTTACTTACAGTTTCAAAATTCATTAAAATACATACATACACTTTTTGAGTTAAACATTATGGAAGTCCTGAAAATCTCTGTGAAACTTTATTTTGCAGAATGTATTTTGAAAAAGGAAATGTGCAAAGTTGTTATTTTAGCTTTAATGTATAGCAGTACATACATAGTGGCTACATGTTAAAGTCCAGTTTAGTTCAGCTTTCCAAGATGGAGTTGCACATGGTCTGAAACAACCACCCTGAAGTTGTCTGTTGAGCTTCACATGTCTGGAGCACAGTTCTCCCCAAGTAATCTATAAAAATAAAGAGTCACTATGTTGTATACTTGAAAGTAATATAATATTGTAAGTCAACTATACTTCAGTAAATTAAAAAATCCTTGTAGTAGCCCCCAGTGTGTGGCTGACACCAAGTCTATGACTTCAGGATAAGGAAGTCTTGCCTTATCATAGCTTCCTCACTTGAATCAGTAACTCTAGTTTTACCAACATTTCACTAAACTTGACTGCTCTCTACTTCTTAGTCTGGGTTAGAAGAAGGAAACCAGAAAGGCAGAGGACCGTGGAAGGCCGACTTCTGTGTATGAGAAATACTGTCTTGCCAGTCAACAGGCATAAAAGCAATCTCGTGGCAGTTAGGCCATCCTGACCTTTGTAAACTTTGAAAGCACTACTGTTTTGTATCATGATCTGATCATGTCTATTTAGATGACCCTGAGTTATCATGAAAAAATTTAAATTAGGTTTGTATCTGGTCTAAAAAGCAAGGAAATTATGGTGAAATAGTGAGGCTTAGAGGACTTTTGGGTAACCACAGGAAGAGATGGAAGGTGGACATTGCCAAGAAGAGGGTCCAGGGAAAAGGAAATGGAGGGAGGGGAGCTCTTTGAGGGGTGGCTCTGAGCTCCACAGCTTTTGTGGTGATAGAGTCACAGGAGCCAGAGATGTACCCTCCGTGCCAGCCGGGCCTAGGGAGCAGAGGCCCTGACTCGTGTCTTCACCACACATGGGGGGAGATGCCCTCACTTCACCACTAGGAGGACCTGGGTGCTTTCATACATGCCATCTTACATGATGTAATGCAGTGACGCTGTTCTGTAGCCTGCCATGTACTATGGTTTATGGCTTGACCCTCTCTCTCTTACCCTCCTCCCTCCCTCCTTTCCTCTCTCCTTCCTTCCCTCCTGTCTCTTCTTCTTTCTACAAATATTTGTTGAAATCATACTCATTCTGAGACAGACCCCGACAGATGTGGCGTGTGTTCTGACAAGGGAAAGACAGCCTGTCTTGCTGCTGCAGGACTTTCCTTGTACTGTGAGACAGAGATATGTCAATAGGAGCATACAAATGAATATGAAAAAAATTATAATGGGATGAAAAGTACATTCCAGGACACATTTGTGAGACCAGGAAGGCTTCTTGGAGGAAGTGCAATCTAAGGCGAGAACTAAGAGATAAAGAGGAGTTAGCCAAGAAGTGGGGGTGTTCCTGGCCAGGGAGAAGCATGTGGGGGTAGAGGTGGGAAAGGGAAGGGTGAGCTCCACGTCCAGAGCGTGGCGTGTGAGTGAGAAGTTTGCAGAAGGCTGACCATGGAGGCCTTGGGGGATGGGAGGCTGGACTATTTTCTCTGATCAGTGGGAAGCACTGGGAAGGTTTTATTCACAGGAGTCAGATGATCAGGTTGGCCTTTTAGAAAGTTTGCTTTGGGGAGTTGGATTAGAAGGGCAAGATTGGCAAGCATGGTAGTTACCTAAAAGATAAATGTGGCCTTTAATGAAAAATTCAGTGAAGACAGATGTAAATAGAATCAAGACATTCTTAGGAGATGGAATCAATAGAGTTGGCAATGGATTAATTAGATGTGTGAAGAGGCAAGGTTACTCCCAGGTTTCTGGAGTGGTCAACTGGACACTAATGGGTGAAAGAGAGAATACAGGGGAAAGAATTCATTTTGGACTGTAGTGGGTTGATGGACTGTTGGATATCAGACTGAGTTTGTGGTAAGCATGGGGTGTACACAAGTGGAAATGCCAGTGGATCTGAAACATAGGAGAGAAAGCTGGGCTAGAGATGTAGATTTGGGAGTGATTGGCATGATATTGGGGGTACCCAGTGCTGTGAGAACAAATGAGATCACCCTGGAGATCACTAGGGGAAGAAAAGCCTATTAGAACAGTGAAGGAGGATGAGCAGAGAGGAGTCCCAGGAGACAGAGGAGGAACAGCTAGAAGGGGAGAAGCCAGGCAAGGAGTGTGTGGGGACAGACACCAATGGAAGAGGACAGTTCAAGACAGAGGAGAGGCTAAGCAAGAGGAAGACCAAGAGATGTCTGTGGGAGCCTCTGTGCCACCGGAAGCCATTGTAACCTTAACTAGAGGAGCGTCTGAAGACAGCAGCTGCAATGCATAGCGCTGACGAGAGAGTTGGAAGAGATGAGCAGAGACAGTGAGTTTAGGCCTCTTTGTCAGGAAGTTTGGCAGAAGGGAGAGAATGGACTCTGGCACCTCACGCTAGAGTAGTGTGGGTGGAGAAGATAGAGGCAGGAAAGCCTTGTGCGTGCTCGGGTGCTGACAGGAAGAAGCTCATAGAGAAGCCTAGGGTGAAATTCTGGGAGACAGTGGGGATAAGTGGGTCACAGAGAGTCCAGAGAACAGAGGAGGGCTTGGGATCAGAATAGTGATAGACAGGACCTTACCTAAGAGGAGAGACACCTCTGCCGTTGTGACAGAAGGGCAGAATAAAATGACTGGGGTTAAAACATTGTTTGCTGTCATAATATTTTAATTATGTTCTTTAAAAAAATGTCTCCACAGACACTACCCAAAGCAGTCCTTCACCACGGTGGCAGACACACCTGAAAACCTTCGTCTGAAGCAGCAAAGTGAATTGCAGAGTCAGGTAATTTCTGGAAGGCCTGTTTTTGCTACATTGATTCTTAATATTATTCACAAGACCACTGTTCAGTTGTTGGACTCTTCACACCGGGTCACCAGCCAGTGTGCAGACTGAAAGCGAGCCCAGGTGGGCATTCCAGGAGCAAGTGCCCAACGTCTGTTTTATTCCTGGTCTTGGATCACCCTGATATTCTTGGTTCTGTTATCCACATGGGACTTGGGCAAGTAAATGAGTTCTGGTCAGAGGAAGTGTTTTCCAACAATATTGATTTATTTGGTCCTAAATATTTAAAAACATTTTATAAATAGCTTTTCCACACTGCATATGTAGGGGAAAAAGAGGTGTTAACTTGACCCAGTTGCAGAGAGTGTGGGGCTAACACCCTGTCTGTGTGTCTCACACCAGCCACTAGCTGTGTTTTCATCCTGTCACTTTATTCATATTTCTTTCATATGTCACTCTGACAGCATGAACAAAGATTAGAACACCACGATTGGCTCCCGGTCAACCATTTTGGATGGAAACGTGCCTTCAATATGGAGAAACACATCGGTTAAGACTGGGGATTCAAGACAATGTTTTCTTCAGGGACACGCAATCTCTTTTTGAGAAACCTAGGGCACTTTCACTCAGAGACATTTTCTTGCCTGCCATGGTGTAGGACGATGCTCAGTGGCTAACATGAGAGCCCACTGGTCAGCATCGAGGTAAAATAACAAGGAGGAGCAGGGAGGAAGGCTGAGTCGAGGTCCCCCTTCCACTGTTGATTGCTTGTGACCTTGCGCCAGCCACTCTGAGTCTTTGTGCTTGTGGAGAGTGAGACAGTCTATCTGATCTTGCCTACGTGTCTTGAGGGTAGCTGCAGGGGTCAAATAAGCAGTTAGGCGTGAAAGTATTTTGAAAAGCTAACAAAAGATGATATGACTGTGGAGGCTGATGAGTATTACCACGACCCTTGAGAATCCTCTATGTGAAAAGGGAGAAGAGCAGAATTTGTGAAGGAAGCAAGGGGTCTAGCTAACACTCTTTAAAAATGTCAGTTGTAGCTGTTTGTAACGAGAGTAGTCAGCTCTCAGTTGCAGTGAACCTAATCTATGTTCCTGCGGGTTTATTTGATCACAGGGGAGATCGTAGTTCCCTCCACCCTCTTTTTGGGGGGACTTGGGGCCACTTCTCAGTCCAGTTAATTAGCGGGAAAAAACTCAGTACAGTTTACTGTTGGTTAACAATGCCATGAAGACTTGGTTGGCAGTTAGTTTTTGGTTTATGTAAAATGCTAATTTTCTGTGTGCTGAGCCATTAGTTCAAAAAATTGAGTGCCGGCCAAAGAGAGGCACTGTTGCAAAGCCGGCAAGAACACCCCTTGCTCATTCACACCACAGAGGGTGCCAGGACTTGGCTCCCGTCTGTGCAGATCCAATATGCCTTTCTTCTCCTCAAGTTAGGATTAATTAGATGATTCTGGAGAAGTACTACGAGCACACTGGAAAACAGAACTAAATCAAGAAATCAAATATTTGTTTCCTGCCTATTACATGTCCTTGTTATGTGCAAAAGAATTTATAATTAGTTAATCCTCCCTTCCCAGAGCTCATGGGATGTCTGAGGAAATAGGACTAACATGCTCCCCTCTCCACTGAAGCAAGCATGTTTCATTTACAGTGAGGATTCAGAAGTGGAGGGATGGGTATGGCTTGGTCTGGTCATGCTTCCTGCTTGGGGGGGTGGTGGTCTGAATAGAGCTTGAAGGTTGACAGAGTATCTGATATGAACCTTGTCTCCTTCCTTGAGAGAGCACCTCTCTCCCTTTGGGTTCAGTTAGTGGCTACAGGTGCCATTGACTTGGTAGAGTAACAAGCATTTATTGTTTTCCTACCACATGCCTAACTCTGGAAAAGCAAAAGAAAAAAGGAGCTCACTGTTCCGCGAAAGGTTGATTTTATTCTCCGTCAGGCAGGTAGCAGGCTGCAAACAGGGCAGAGCATGAATGTAGTTCGTGGCCGGTGGGTCAGTTGATAGAGGGAGGCACAGAGTGCTGTGTGGTCTCCAAGTACTGGTCAGGTGGAGGCATCAGATTTTCTGTATGATTTTGCTCAAAAATCATCTTCTCCAGAAAGAAAATGTAGGACTTCATCAGACAGACAGCATGGAGAAGTTCAACTCAATTCAAGAAGCATGTGTTGATGACTTCTTATGTGCGAGGAATTGTGCTAGGTGTGGGGGAAGGAAAGGAAGGAAAATCAGCTGTGGGGGGAGGAAAGGAAGGAAAATCACCATCATCACCATTATCATCGTCATCATCACCATCATCAGTCTTGCTGCATTCAGGGCACATCATTTTACATGTACTATTTCATTTCCTCTCAAACAGCCCTAAAAGACAGGAATTTATTATTATCCCTCTTTAGGGGAAGCATTCTGGAGAAGGCACTGGCAACTCACTCCAGTACTCTTGCCTGGAAAATCCCATGGACAGAGGAGCCTGGTGGGCTGCAGTCCATGGGGTCGTGAAGAGTCGGACACGACTGAGCGACTTCACTTTCACTTTTCACTTTCATGCATTGGAGAAGGAAATGGCAACCAAGTGTTCTTGCCTGGAGAATCCCAGGGATGGGGGAGCCTGGTGGGCTGCCGTCTATTGGGGTCACACAGAGTCGGACACGACTGAAGCGACTTAGCAGTAGCAGTAACAGAGGAAGCATTCAACCTTTAAAGAATTTAGAGAACTTGCCTTTTAGAACAGCAGGGAGTTGAACTTGACATAGAACCTAGATCTGTGAGCCCCAAGTGTCCACAGTCTCAACCAGTACTCTGGTCACATTACTTGGAGAGTGCCTAGAAAGGAGATGTGTAAGCAAATACTTGAGGTGTCAGCTGATAGTGCAGTGTATGTAAAGGTGGAATTTTGCATAAAGTGCAAGAGTCACACAAAGGAAGAAGTCCTTTCCCTCGCCTCTCCCTTCCCTTCCTCCCCTCCCCCTTCTTCTCTTTTCCCTCCTCCTCCTCCTTTGTGAGAGATGCAAGCACTTCTAGAGTATTTCAACCTTTTGCAAAGACATGGAAGGATACCTGCCCTAATGGTAGTATTCATGACTGGCAATTCATTTAAAGTTAGCATATTAAATGACTTGATTCTGTGGTAGAGCATTTCCTTTGAGTTTTGATATCAAGAATTCTGAATGGCTCAACAGTTTTGGTGGAAAATTGGTTATTAATATTTTATTTACTTGTTTTGATAACCTATGATGCTAAATGAGTCACATTACTCATCTGTTCATTATTCTGAGTTTTGAAATTCTGAAATCCTTTGTAATTGTTCGGTTAAAATTAATCCTTTTCTTTTAGTTCAATAGCTTACCAAATGAGCCAAAATGAAGGGAAAACAAAAACAGTTGCAGTCCAACTTAGGAAGTTATTTATGGTTACATGTTGTTATCGCTTCCTTTTTTTCTTCTCTGTTGTCCTCTTTTTGAGAGGGTTATGAATTTTGCCAGCCCCCTGCTTTTTTCTCTCCTGAGTGTTAGATCCTCTCAAGCTTTTTTGGGATCTGTATTAGGTGCCAATTGTCATAATAAAATGATATGAAATACCAGAGAATAAACAAGGAAACCATGAGTTAGCTTTTTGGAACTGGTGACAGGCAGTGGCTTGCAGGCGTTATCTAGCTTGCAAATAACTGGTGCCTTTCCTCATGGCCAGCCACTGACCCCAGTGGACGTGGATGGCCCTGGAACTTTGCAGTAGGTGTGGGGGAGGGGAAGCATCCCATTGTCACTAGCTCCTTTTCTGTCACGTCTCACAGGATGAACTGCTTCCAAGAAATAACAGAACTGGAGGTTAGGCACCCCCATTGGCCTGCAGGAACCCATTCAGTAAGGTGCAAAAGTGTAAACTTTTCCTTCCAGTGTTATTAGTAACATTGTACTTTACCTGTGGAGCATCCTGCTTTTGCTGCATGCCTTGGGACAGCAGAATGTCATTGTTTTTGTGGGGAAGTGAGCCTTGGGTTCCAAAGACTTGCCTGGTAAAGTAAACTTCCGGAACACAAACTTTTTGTAAGTTGGGCAGTCCCTAAGCTTTTTAAAAACTTCAGGTAAAAAGGCCCCTTAGGAGAGAATTTTTTAACTTTTTATTTTCACATGATGTTGTAGCAAGTGTTTTTTCTTCAGGCTGTGTAGAATACTCTCAGTGGAAGAAAATGGACAGATGTTTTGAACATTTTTCATCAGGAGTCTGAAGACTTCTTAAAGCTGGGGAAATGGTTTTTCAAATGGAATTTTGAGGGGAAGTCTTCCTAGGAAGAGAGCAAAACAGGACAGTTGTGGCTGAAGCAAGGGAAGGAGGGGGTGCAAACTTCACTCCCCGTGTTCCCTCTGCTTCTCCCCATCCTCTGCTTCCAGGGCCTTGGGGTGAGTGTCTTAGGAAACCCGGGGCCTCTGTAGGGCTGAGTTCTGAAAATCAATGCTAAAACAAAGACACTTTCCCACTTGGTTGTTTATGTGATTGACTTAGTTGTTTGCAGTCGTGAAAATAATGGAGAATTGGGGTTCACTGTATTCTTAAATGGAGTGTGTGTAATTTACGAGTCCTGATAAGATGAAATTGAAGATGATGATGGATCAATTACAAATGATTCTGGAACCTTTGAGCCTTCATTTTGTAATCTGTGTTGATTTTTTAAAAATCATTTTTGGGTTTTATTTTATTTTTTAATATTGTTAGCATCTTTTTAAAGTTTTTCTCTTAACAGAATTAAGTGAAAATTTCAAAACTGTGTGAGGATAGCAGTTTGGGACACTGTATCCTCTAATTTTTTTTTTTTTCATTTATTTTTATTAGTTGGAGGCTAATTACTTTACATCATTGCAGTGGTTTTTGTCATACATTGAAATGAATTAGCCATGGATTTACATGTATTCCCCATCCCGGTCCCCCCTCCCACCTCCCTCTCCACCCGATCCCTCTGGGTCTTCCCAGTGCACCAGGCCTGAGCACTTGTCTCA